TAATATAGTATCTATAATACAGCTTTATACTGTAACATAGCATCTATAATACAGCTATACAGTGGAACCTCGGTTTTCGTATGCCCAAGTTTGTACGTAAAACTATAGTTATTCTCTATAAAATGTATTTTTGTTAATATTTTTTGGGTGTCTGGAATGGATTAATTGGTTTTACATTATTTCTTATGGGAAATAATAACAAAAAATACATTTTGTAGAGAATAACTATAGTTTTACATACAAATTTGGGCATATGAAAACTGAAGTAGTATAGCATCTACAATGCACCCTAACTGATGCTTGACTCAGTTTATGTTTAATGTCTCATTTCTCTAATCTTTAAATCTGTAAAGCCAGGACCTCGAAGAGTATTTAACCCCTTAACTGTTCAAATGTAGATCTATGTTTGCACTGCTACCACTCCAAATATTTTGAAAAAAAAAAATATATAAATAAAGAGGGCAATTTTTCTGTGTGCAATGAGAAAAAAAATAATTTTAGGGTCAGTACTTGCCAAGATATAAGGCTGCAAAGTTGGTGTTGGATGCTCACCTGACGGCAACAAGGAGTCTTGCCAATTACAGAAGTGTTGCCGATATACCTTTTTGTTTTTTTTTGCTTCTATTTATATAATTATTGTTCTGATAATTACAATTTACAGTAATTCTTATGATTTTATAGCCAATCTTTACACACTTCTGGTTAGTGTGACTTTGTCAATGGTCCAAGTCAGACCGAAACGTCGTCGTAAGCTTCTCTCTTTTACGTGCGGGTTATTTGTGTATCGTTCCAGTCATGGTATTGTACCTTTTTTGTTATTTAGCCAATCTTTATTCTGACACTAATATTAATTAGGTACTGAAATAGTAATCAAAGTCACAAACACACTTACAGGTGAACATTTTCACCTGCCTTGGTCATATTGTCTAGAAATATATATGAAGTATTTATAGGTCCCAGCAGTATTTTAGAGATGCTGGAGTGTATGAAACTCCTCGAAGCACAGTTTAAAAAGTGTCACTCCTGACACTCAGTCCACTGCTGACAGTGCAGCAGTGGACTGACACTTGATGATCATGCACTGCTCCTGCAAACCTTGGCTTTATTTTTTTCTCACTGTTACACAGAAGCATGTCTGTCTGTATCTGTCTGACTGTCTGTTGATCTAGCTCTATCTCTGTTTATCTCTGTCTTTCCTTATCTTTCTGTCTACTTGTCTCTCTGTCTCAGAGAGAACCACTTATGAACCAACAGGTGTTACACACAATGCAGAGTTGTGACGTCTTGATTCCTGAACAGGTGAAAATGCTTATTACAGTGGACCCTCGGTTATCGGCCGTAATCCGTTCCAGGTCGGTCGATAACTGAAATGGCTGAAAACCGAATTAATATTTCCCATAAGAATTAATGGAAATACAATTAATCTGTTCCAGACAAAAATATTCACAAAAAAAAAAAAAAAATTTAACAATTATGTAAGTTTTACATACCTTTATTGAAGGCTAATGCTGGCTTCTGGAAGACAGGGAAGAGGAAAGAGGGAGGAGTTAGTGTTTGGAAGCGGAATCCCCCACCATAAAGACTTCAGGTAGCAAAGCCTTCTCTGGGGTTACTTCCCTTCTTTGTCTTTTAATGCCACTAGGACCAGCTTGAGAGTCACTGGACCCCTGTCTCACAACAAATCTGTCCATAGAGGTCTGTTTCTGGCATCTCTCTAAAATTTCCCTGAAGTGGGACAGGGTTTTGTCACTGAACATGTTGTATATATGGCTTGTTTCAGCTTGGTCAGGGTGGTGTTTCTCTACAAAAGCTTGCACCCTAGTCCACATTACACACACCTCTTTAATGTCATTTACTGCTGCAGTATATTCATTACAAACCTTAAAATATTTGTAGTCTTAATGTAGGGCAAGAGGTGAGTAGTATTTATTTCTAGGAAGTCAGTGTAGGTAGCAGTAGATGTAGGTACAGTACACGTATGTAGCCCCCCTTCCCCCCCGGCTACACTACACAGCTATATTACAATACACAGCCATATTATTACACTACACAGCAATATTATTACCATGTTCACTGAGTTTAATCGTTTCTAACAACTACCTTTAGATGCCATCATAAACAAAGGGAGAAGTAATGAATAATTCGTGCCAAGAATTGTAAACAAACGCATATGAAAGGTGGTTACTGCACCAATCGCCAGATTCAGTTTTCTCTAACGCTGCATCAGAGAAAATGTAATGTTTACTCTCCACTCGATAACATATAAACATTGCACGTTTATATGCTATGCTTATATGCTACATGACATGTAACGTGTTTCCTATATAATTTTGAAGAAAATATTATAGATGGATTAATGAAAACGTCTATATTAACGTAAAATAAGACATTTAATGTGGCAAAGAGTGATTATTAAATATACATCACATATAATAAACATTGCATGTTTATATGCTATGTAACGTGTTTCTTACATAATTTTGAAGATATCATAGATGGATTAATGAAAATGTCTAGATTAACGCAAAGCAAGACATTAAATGTGGCAAAGAGTGATTACCAAATATACAATGGTCCCTCGATAATAGTCGGGCTCGATAGTCGTCCTTTTCGGAAATCGTCACGTTATTTTAGTCCAAACATTGGCTCGCAAATGGTCGGTTGACTCACTAATCGTCGTTCGTCCTGGACGCGTACTCATGGCTCTGAGCCACCTCGGCCTCCCTTCCCAGCCAGTGTGCCATTGTTTACCAGTGAGCGACAGTCCCCTCACGTGTTCATACAAAATATTTCATAATATTCCATTCATTTTAGTGCTTGCAAGTGCTAAATAAGTTACCATGACTCCAAAGCAAGCTCCTAGTGGTAAAGTTGGTAAAGAAGGTGAGAAATACAACTGAATTTAAGAAAAACATCATTCAACAATATGAAAGTGGTGTACGTGTGGCCGAACTGGCCAGGATGTATAACAAATCCCGTACAGCCATATCTTTCATCGTGGCCAAGAAAAAAGAAATCGAGGAAGCTGTTGTTGTAAAGGGGATAAATATGCTGACAAAAATGAGATCACCAGTACTCGAAGAGGTTGAAGAGTTATTATTGGTGTGGATAAACGAGGAGGAGGGAGGAGGAAGAGAGATGGAAGAAGGTGCCTTCTTCAGAAATTAAGATTTTTGAAATGTAGGGTAGGATGGAAAGATTTATGGAGAAACATCACCCTGAGATGGATGTTGCATGTCATATCGGCAACTTGTACAGTGACAGAGTCTTGGCCCATTTTAGGGAAGTTTTAAAGAGACACCAGAAACAGAGCTCTCTGGACAAGTTTTCTGCGAGACAGGACTCCAGTGACTCTCAAGCTGGTCCTAGTGGCATTAAGAAACAGAGAAGAGAAGTAACCCCAGAAAAGGACTTGGTACCTAAGGTGTTGATGGAAGGGGATTCCTCTTCCAAACAGTAACTAATCCAATTTCTCTCCTCCTCCAGTCTTCCATACACTAAGAAAAATCTCCAATAAAGGTAAGTGTTATGCTGTCAATGTTTCATTCATCATGTCCCATTGTATTGTTTATGTACTACATCTATATTTCATGTAAAAAAATTTTTTGTTTTAATACTTCTGGGTGTCAGGAATGGATTAATTGTATTTACATTATTTCTTATGGGGAAAATTGATTCGAAAATAGTCTTTTCGATAATCGTCGCACATCCAGGAACGGATTAACTACGATAAACGAGGGACCACTGTACATTGCATATAATAAACATTACATGTTTATATGCTATTTAACTTGTTTCTTATATAATTTTGAAGAAGATATAATAGATGGATTAATGAAAATGTCTATATTAATGAATAAACATTACATGTTTATATGCTATGTAACGTGTTTTTATATAATTTTGAAGATATAATAGATGGATTAATGAAAATGTCTATATTAATGTAAAATAAGACATTTAATGTACAAGTGATTATTATTAAATATACATCACATATAAACATTGCTTGTTTTTATATACTATATAACGTGTTTCTTTGGGCCCATGGTTGCTTATTTTGCAGTTGCACTCAATCAATAACCACAAAAAGCAATGGATTATAGCAAAAAGTTTGGATGAATGAACAGAAGCTTCCTCACTCGCCCAGAGACAAAGCCAAACTGACTCGCAAGCGGTCCCAGCTGGCAGATGGATGCCTCCCAAATGGCCGATAACCGGGCACTGAAAAACCAGCTGATAACCGAGCTGTCCGATAACCGGGGATCCACTGTACTTGCCAGTCATGCTTATTATGCCTTAGATCTACAAGCACAGTATAGCACTTCGTCTGGATTTTTTGGGTTATCCTAGGAAATTTACACTATGCATGATAACTGTACTTATGTGTACCTGTGAGACAAAGACAGCGATAGAGACAGCCAAAGTCAATCAGCCGGCCTACCGAACACGTATTGCACGTTCCAGAATCATTTCTTTTTACTTAGGGCATAGGTTATAGGACATTCGGGCAGGATGACACTACGAATGGTATCGAAATTGAAAGGATGTGGCACAAGTGTTGCACATGGGTTATTATCGAGGTTTTTGATATTTCCTCAACCACTTTTGGCCACATCCATCTCAAAGCCACTAAACTCAGGGTCAACATCACTTTCCTCTTAAAAGGGGTCTTAATACATGGCATCAGTGAATCCCTGGTGTTTGCCACGTTTGCTCTAGCTGGCACTCAATTGAACTGGTGCTCTCACAAGGTACTAAGTGGTCCCAGATTTTTTTAATACTGCGCACACCGAGTGTTAAAACCCATTCATTACTGACCAGGCATCTAAAGCCAATAGTTTCAAATTTGGAGGCAGGAAAAATAAAACATCGATCTACATCTGGAGTGCTAGCAGTGAAAACGTAGATCTACGTTTGGACGGTTAACAGGTTAAAATCATTCCAAAAAGTAATTACCTGACAATACACTACACTTTTTGCTTGTGTTTTTAAAAGACTTTAAAGCCAAGGAATCCTTTATTGACAATTTTCATATATTCAATAAAAAAATACATTAGAAGTATGAACAATTCTTGTCATTATTTCTGGTTAGGATCAGGCAATATAGTTCACTGTAATGCCCACTTTCTATTATTGTTTTAGCACAAAGAGCACTTTTGGGGCTAAACGTTTGTACCACACATGGAACTAATGCAATGTTCCACTAATTTTTTCCTTTAATTTTTTTTTAGCCAAAGTTGAATATTTGCTTGCTATCAGGGCATAAATTATCACACACACACACACATCCCAGGTGTCATCTTGTAAAAGTTAGCTACAAATAATTATATTTGAGAACATTTGCAGAAGAATTACAACTGATGCACATATTCCATTTACCAGTTAAAATTACATGTATGGCTGAATATCAAATATACTATTGCTACAAAAACTTTTGTTCCGCAAACACATTTTGCATTCATTTTTATTATAAATGATCAGTACCTTCACACAGGCAGTTTTCTTAATTACAAAATCATGAAAGAACACATCTTATTTCCAAAACAAAAATTATCATTTAACATATTTTAGAATTATTTCTTATTCAAGATTTTAAACAATATTTAAATTGTTCACTTAAGTGTTATCAAATGTCACAAAAATTTGTAAAAATTACAAAGTGCTTATACATGCAGTTTCATGTTCTAACTTTAAAACACAATTTGTTGCTATAGACATTCACATAGACACTGCAAATGCTTTGTATCATTTATATACATTAGAGCAATGAAAATTTTACTTGCCTAATATTGTATACTTATACAAAACAAAATACTGCCTTCACCAAACACAGCACTGAATTAAAGAGATAAAAATTAAAAATTTATCTTAAATGTTCATCAGCTACATATCATAACTGCTGATGGCTAGCAACTATGTTTGTTTAGCAAAACCAGGCATAAAATGAATTGCTGATGTGATTTTCATCAGACAATTCTTCAAAATGGTAATTCTCAACATAGTATCCACCAAAGGTTTACTTATAGTAATGAGCTAATGATCAGCTAGTTTGCAATTTTCACTGCAGTTTGAAGAAGCAAGTGGTCATCATCTATACGTATATATAAAATATTAAGAAACAAGATTCAACTTAGATGTATTAAGATTGAAAAATACGAAGCGACCTTTACATTTCATTCACATTTTGTGTAAAGGAATCTCTCCTACCCAGACACTCATTATTCTTAAAAAAAAAAAACTGCTAAAGATACAACAGAACTTTAAAAAGACTAAAGTGTAGTATCCTAAAGAAAGCCACGTCAGAGCAGATCAGAGAGACAGGAGGCAAGTGCTTAGTGTCTGGAGGAGCGGTGCGATGATGATTCCCTCTCTTCTCTTGTTCTAACGTCACGTTCACGCTCTCTTTCTCTGTCACGATCCCGATCACGCTCACGTTCACGTTCTCTAACAGGTTCTCTAACATCTTCCCTTGTGCTGCGTTCCTCAATGCGTTCACGAACTGGACGTTCTTCAATCCGCTCCCTTCTTGCATCACGTTCCCTGTAACGCTCATCATAATACCTGTAATTAGAATTTTGGATGTGCCACGAATAGCTCTAACATAAAAAAAAAAAAAAAAAAAAGTGAAAAGCAATTTAGCTAAAACTTTATTTATTACATTTGTAAATGTCAAACAGAGTGTTAAAAAAAGTTTCATAATATAAACAAACAATATTCAATTGATCAACATTAGCAAATATTCTTAATAACAACAAGAATTTATCAATTTGTAGCCATTTTTAAAATCAAAGTAGAAACCTTTCATACATAAAAGTTTGCTCAGTCCATGAGTAGCTTTCTACATGCCACAAAAATTTATGAGCAACCTACCTGGCCCAAAAGTAATAAATCAATATCTTTCTTCTTTCTTTCAACTTACCAGCCGTATCCCACTGAGGTGGGGTGGCCCAAAAGGAAAAACGAAAGTTTCTCCTTTTAAATTTAGTAATACAGTATACGTATTTAGTAATACAGTATATTTAGTATTCACAGGAGAAGGAGTTACTAGCCCCTTGCTCCCGGCATTTTAGTCGCCTCTTACAGCACGCATGGCTTACGGAGGAAGAATCCTGTTCCACTTCCCCAATATATCTTCCACAATTAATGTTACATTTGTATCCCATTTAAATATGCATTTAAATTTTGAATTTGTAAAGCCAATAAATTATCTCCCATTATGTAATAAAGTGTTTGTTGATCTTCTCTAAGTTACTACTCACTTCAATACTCACCTATTAAACACAATTCTCATTTAACTGGAGAATGAATTAATGTTAGTAAATTAAAGTTAATATAGTTGAATGTTAAAGTAAATTTCTGCATTCAAAACCCAAAAAGGACTGCTGGGAAGGTGTACATTACTTGAGCGTTTAATTCTTTAAAAAATTACTGAAAAGAAACTAAGCTTAGTAGAACTCTGCATATAAAATGACATTACTATGAGAGGAGGGGTGAGATGGTATGCATTAATAAGCATAACAAACAAAAATGTGGCCACTCAGGTGCTCATAATACAAAAAGCCCAATGAGAGCAAAGTAATTAAGTAAAAACCTAAATAAACAGAGATATCCCTCTGATTCATGGAGATACCTTACAAGAAATACCCAAAATTATAACTAAATTCTTTAGCTATAATTTTTATCATTATCCTGAAGGTGTGCCTTTAAGTGGTTGCCTGAATTTTTCAGTTTATCTTCTCCAAAGCTTACATTTATAACCTCATCTGATCAACTTCAAATTTTCAAAGCTGGTGTACTAAAACAAGGGGCAAGGTTCATGTAATTACTGACATTTGCTAATGCACTCTTGTCAATTGTGTACAAATCTTCCAGGGTTTGCTCTCCATACGACAACTTAAGAAAGCCTTTTCTGATCACTTTCAAACTTTCAACACCAGTGTATCCTCCTTAGAAGAAAGTTGAGATTGCCATGGGGATGTATAAGTGCCAATATGCCAATTTCATTTATAAAATGGTGTGGTAGTTTTCCTGTAACCCTTTGAGGGGTTCAGACCCCTGATCTGAGACTTGTCCACAGGATCCAAGAATTTTTAAAACAAAATTGTTATTTTTCTTTATTTTGTTATTTTTTTTTTGTTTTATTACATGAAGGTAATAAAACAAAAAATATGAAATTTCATGAAAATTGATGAAATTACACTATCACGAATATGGTTGTATTAGCGATATTTACACATCGGTGATTTTGTCCACTCAGAGTCCTATTTTAGGCCAATTAAATTGTTCCAGTTTATCAGATTCCTAGCTTTCCTTCCATTTTAGTGACTGAGCACAAGAAACTGCCCGATCAACTACTTCAACTACCCAATAAAGTGATCAAACATTGGTAATTTGTAACCTTTCAAACAAATTTCAAAACATAGTCCAGAATAAACAATGCAGGCATTCCTGGCATAAAGTAACATTTCCTCTGTTTATTAGTTATGTTTCTAGTCTTTACACATGAATTCTATTTTGATTTTTTATTCACACACAAAAATAGAAGATTTACTGTTATGCAATATTGTAATAATTGAATAAATAATACCAGTGTCTTCATGAATGCATATTAGACCCACCAGTTGATGTGTACTGGACATGTGATGTAATTTGTTTAATCTTGAACATCAGTAAAAATTGAGCATTTCCCCTACTTTGAGCTCAATTTCAAGCCATCTTCAGTCCTGAAACTAATCAAATATCATCTCTGTTTCTGTAAAATATCTTTCATTCTATCAAATGGAACCAAGAAACTGTGAATACAACCATAAAAAAAATACAAAAAAAAAAAATCACTGTTTTAAACCAAAAACACAGTCACAGTTTTTTCTCATTATTTACTGCATGTAGCAGAAATATTTTTTATATGGTGCACACTTACCACATAGACCCATTCTCTCATATCTAGGCCCAAATTTACCACTCACCGCTTATCTGAGTGAGGTGAGCTCACGCTATAGAACAACAGCATGGACCCAGGCTTCAAACATGCAGAACAACAGCACGGACCCTCAAGTAATTAAAATATCTCGACTATACCTCATGTCTCCTAATTGTTAATAGCTCATGAAGCATATGAGAAGAATGATATCCTATAAATTTAGGCTTATGAAAAAAAAAGTGACAAATAGAAAGAACGAACAGTAGAGACATCCACAGATATCGAAGAAATCACAGAGACAAAACTTGCAGAGGTAGTGTTGCTAATCAGAAACCAGTGTTTAGAAGAGAGGAGAGGTATTATTTATATCCAAATGAAAAAAATTACAGATACTATCTAAATTTAATAATACATCTGTAGATAAAAATAATGTATCATTAGCAATTATATTTATTTGTAATATAAAATCACAAGCGTAATCAAATGATTACACAGAAGGCACATTCAAAACTGGGGGACCCAGTTCTGAATGTGTAGTGATGTACAGTATAACCCACCACTGAACAGAAATATAGTGACATAACAGCAGGTGTGGCTAGAAAAGCCCACATGAGCAATGTTAAACTACTGAAAATTGGAAATCTCTTCCATAAGGAATTAGACTGGAGCACATGGGTGGGAACTGGAAATGTAGAGGGCTCTAAGTTGTTAGACAGTAATAGAAAACTTCATGTGTCAGCATTCCAGGGACAAAACTAGAGACAGGCGTGGATGAGCCAGCAACAATGGACCTTATTTTACCCTAAATGATTCTGATGCAATGAGACACTGAATACGAGTGGCCCTTCAATGTTGGTGACCATGCAGTGGTTTGCCGAGTTTCAAATGCTTGGTGAAAGTAAATGTAGAGAGAAATAAAGGCCAGGAAGAAAGTGAGAAACCTGACTTCAAAAGAAGAGATTATGAAGGCATGAACAAATTCCTAACTGGCATGCACTGGGAGAGGGAACCAAATGGAAAGACAACAAATTAAATGATAAAGTACATAACAGGAAAGTGGTGGGAGGCAGAGAAGAAATTCATACCCAGGAGCAGAAGCACTGACAAGAATGGTGAGCCTATGATTCAGCCAAAGGTGTAGAGAAACAAAAGCTAATAGCACAAAAGTTTGGAAAAAAATATAGAAAGCAAAGAACACAGGAAAACAGGAAAGTGAACAGAAGAGCCAGAAATAATTACAGATGAGTAAGAAGAGAGGCTGAACAACAATTTGAGAGTGAAACAGCATCAAAAACCAAATCTAAATTAAGGCTGCTACATAGCAGCATAAGAAGCAAGACCAACTGTGAAGGACTAAGTAATAAGATCTGCTTGCAGGAACCCCCAACAATGAGTCATTTATATGTGACATATGTCAGGCCCATATCTGAGTATGCTGCACCAGTATGGAACCCACACCTAATAAAGCACATCAAGATGCTGGAAAAAGTGCAAAGGTTTGCAACAAGACTATCCACAGAGTTAAGAGATATGACCTATGAAAAAAGACTAAAGGGGCTAAAACTGACATTAGTGAACAAAAGCACCAGAGGTGATGTGATAATGACATATAATATACTAAGAGGAATTAACAGAGTGGACAAGGACTGACTGTTCAAGAGGTAGGAATAAGAAACATGAGGGCATAGCTGGAAACTGAAAACATTGATAAATCACAGGGATATTAGGAAATATGTCTTTAGCCTTAATTGGTCAGGAAGTGGAATGACCTAGACAGCAAAGTAGTAGAAGCAGGATTCAAACACAGATTTAAAACAAGGTATGATAGCGCTCACACAGCCAGGAGAGAAGAAACCAGGTAGCAGCTAGTGGACAGGCAGACATATTTTTACATTTTGCTGCAATAAAACTTTAAGACCATCCTGCACTATTCCTTATACATGAACAAAGCAGAGAAGGCTAGAATACAGGGATATTTTTCACAGATTGTGCAGTGACCAGAACCATCTAATTTTTTTTATTTGGGCTTACTTCAGTGTCTACATTTCCTTAAGCATCACTCGAACCTCATTAATTTTAATATTCATGAGTGATAATGTTTAAAAAATTGAGAGTAGAAGACACAATAAGTACATTTCCCATACGATTCTATGATTGGTTTTAAATTTAGAACTTGTGCTCAAAGAAAAAAAACTGAGTAACTTAACAAAAATAGAAACAACTATATTTCTCAGAAATATGCAATAAAAAATTGTGAATTTCGAAACTTTTATCTGAATAATTTACTGCAATTATTGTAAAATACATCCCAGAAACCAAGGAAGATTACGCATGAATGAGGGGCACACACTGAAATGCAAGGAAGTACTGTACAGTGAAGCCTCCATATAATGGACTAATAGGGGTAAAGGGGTGTTCGTTTTAGCAAAAACCCATTACAGTGGTATTTCGAGTTTTGAACAGCTCCCAACTCGAACAATTATGTAAGTGTATTTTTGGGGGTCTGAAACAGACTAATCTAATTTACATTATTCCTTATGGGAACAAATTTGTTCGATAACGGCACTCGAACAGCCTTCTGGAATGAATTAAGTTCGTAACTCGAGGTACCACTGTAGTATATTGAAAGTTTCAATTAAGCGCATGTAGTCTGCCTCATCAATTGACTTCCGGACACAGACAAATGCCCAATGAAATGGACAAAAGGGAGAGAGTTAAAAGTGCAGTACAATATACGTATAAATACATTACAGCAATTTTTCTACTTAACAGTCAAGGTCACAGACTTCTTAGCATTATCACTTGTTTTAGAAGCCTTTGTTAATAACACTGTAAATGGTAAACAATGAATACAAGGAAAATGAGAGACAATGATGATGGTACATAAGTTTTCTTTTTTAACATGTCTGCCATTTCCCACTGGGGAAGGGTGACCCAAAAGTAAAGAAAAAAACTTTCATCATTCAAAACTTTCACCATCACTCATACATAATCACTGTCTTTGTAAAGGCACTCAGAAACGACAGTTTAGATGTCCCTCCAAACTGCCAATATCCCAAACCCCTCCTTCAAAGTGCAGGCATTGTACTTCCCATTTCCAGGACTCAAGTCCAGCTAACCAGTTTCCCTGAATTCCTTCACAAAATATTACCTTGCTCACACTCCAACAGCTCGTCAGGTCCCAAAAATCATTCATCTCCATTCACTCCTATCTAACACACTCATGCACGCTTGCTGGTAGTCCAAGCCCCTCACCCACAAAACTTCCTTTACCCCTTCCCTCCAACCTTTCTGAGGACGACCCCTACTCCACCTTCCTTTCCCTACAGATTTATACGCTCTCTAAAGTCATTCTACTTTGTTCTATTCTCTCTAAATGACCAAACCAACTTAACAACCCCTCTTCAGCCCTCCGACTAATACTTTTATTAACTCCACACCTCCTCCTAATTTCCACACTACGAATTCTCTGAATAATATTTACACTACACACTGCCCTTAGACATGACATCTCCACTGCCTCCAGCCTCCTCCTCTTTGCTGCAGCACTTACAATCCATGCTTTACATCCCACATAAGAGTGTTGGTACCACTATACTCCCGTATATTCCCTTCTTTGCCTCCATGGATATCGTTTTTTGTCTCCACAGATACCTCAATGCGCCACTCACCTTTTTTTCTTCATCAATTCTATGGTTAATCTCATCCTTCATAAACCAATCCACTGACAAGTCAACTCCCAAATATCTGAAAACATTCACTTCTTCCATACTCCCTCCCTCCAATGTGATATCCAATTTTTCTTTATCTAAATCGTCAGATACTTTCATCACCTTACTCTTATCAATGTTCACTTTCAACTTTCTACCTTTACACAACCTTCCAAACTCATCCACTAACCTTTGCAACTTTTCTTTAGAATCTCCCAAAAGAACAGTATCATCAGCAAAAAGTAACTTTGTCAATTCCCATTCTGAGGTGGATTCCCTATAATTTAATCCTACCCCTCTCCCCAATACCCTAGCATTTACTTCTTTTACAACCACATCTATAAATATATTAAACAACCATGGTGACATTACACATTCTGGTCTAAGACCTACTTTAACTGGTAAGTAATCTCCCTCTCTCCTACATACCCTAACCTGAGCCTCACTATCCTCATAATAACTCTTTACAGCATTTAGTAACCTACTACCTATTCCAAACACTTGCAACATCTCCCAAATTGCTCCACTATGCACGCTATTATATGCCTTTTCTAAATCTACAAATGCAATGAAATCTTCCCTACTTTTATCTAAATACTGTTCACATAAATGTTTCAATGTAAACACTTGATCTACAAATCCCCTACCCATTCTAAAGCTTCCTTGTTTATCACATCCAAACAATAACAAACTGACACAGGCTGAGTCACAGGCCCCACTCCCCAGGAATGAAGACTGAACTTGCACACTGGGCAAATGTACAATAAAGCAAATTTTGTCTGCTTCATTGCTCTTTCAATCAAACACCTCATTAACCCTTTGACTGTTTTGGTCGTATAACCCTTTGACTGTTTTGGTCGTATATATACGTCTTACGAGCCAGTGTTTCGGACGAATATATAGCAATAGTTCTAGCGGCTTCAAATCAATCAGGAGAAAGCTGGTAGGCTCACATGTGAGAGAATGGGTCTGTGTGGTCAGTGTGCACCACATAAAAAAAATCCTGCAGCATGCAGTGCATAATGAGAAAGAAAAAAAAACGACTTTTTTTTGGATTAAAACGCCGACTTTGAGATGTATTTTCGTATAGCATTTATCGTTGTATTCTAGTTTTCATGCTCTCACGTGATAAAATGGAAAACATATTGCAGAAATACAGATGATTTTGATTAGTTTCATGATGAAAACGACCTTGAAATTGAGCTCAAAGTAGCAGAAATGTTCGATTTTTAGCAATGTTCAAGAGTAAGCAAATCACACCACACGTCCAATACACGTCAACTGGGGAGTCTAATATTCTTTCACTAGTGCACTGATATTATTTATATCACTTTTACAATAATGCAGTAGTCTGCATAACAGTAAATTTTGCATTTTTTGTACGAGTAAAAAATCAAAATAGAAAGCAATAGTAATAAAAGAGGGGCCTAGAGACATGACTAATGAACAGAGCATATGTTATTTTAGTGCCAAGAATGTCTACATTGTTTATTCTGGACCCTATTTTGAAATTGGCATGTTTTTTAATTTGCGTGAAATTGGCCAAATTGCCAATTTCTGACCACTTTATTGGGTAGTTCAAATCAGTAAATGGGAGGTTTCTTGTATTCAAGTGATAGAAAAAATGGAGTTCTAAAGAAATAGCTATAAGTTTGGTCAACTGGAACAACGGAATTGGCCAAAAACAGGGCTCAAAGTCGGTGAAATCGCCGATGTGTATATGTCGCTGAGACACCTAAATTTGCGAGAGCGTAATTCCATGAGTTTTTGACCAAATTTTGTACTTTTGGTGTCATTACCATCGGGAAAAGATTCTGTATCATTGCAGAAGAAAAAATAATTTTTTTTTTCCAAAAATTTTGCAACATAGAATGACAGTTTCAGAAAGGGGCTTGCAACAGTCAAAGCGTTATACAGACATGCTGAGCCTTTGTCTTGCTACATTTTTGTCCATTTTAGCCAATATCTCATTTTATCAAGGTAGTAAAGAACTGAAATATGTTTATAATAAAATGATTTAACATTAATGTCTAAAATTGGATTTTGTGAAACAACCTGAGGAGAAAAAGCAAAATAAAGACAGTCTTATCAGGTTTGAAATTATATTTCCTATACTAACCTTTCACGGTCTCTGTCTCTCTCTCTGTCTCGTTCACGAGCCCGGTCGTATTCTCGCTCACGGCTGTATGATCTCTCGTAGTCTCTATCACGCTCTGAAGTACGATCTGAAGTTCCACGTTCCCTTTCACTGCGATGACGCTCATAGTCACGCTCACGTGAATGTGATCGTGACCGGTCACGGTATTCTCTGTCTCTTGAGCGAGATCTGTCACGACGATGTCGCCTGCTCGGTGTTCGAGAACGTTCTCTTCTTTTGCTGGAACCATAGCTCTTAGCTTCAATGCCATGAAGTGTGTCCTGTAAATTAAAGGGTAAAACTATTTCATAATCCTTAAAAATATTATTTTTTTTTTAAATCAGATAAGAAACTGCACAAAACAACTACACAATACTTGTAATACGTACCTGTAGAGAGCTTGTAAGAATCTTACACCTGTCATCATGAGCCACTTTTGATTGCTTTATGAGGGAAATTGCAGTCACAAGGGTTTCTATTGCACTGGCGTATTCACCTGTAATATAGGATGGATGAATAAAATATAAAAGCTTACATCTCAAGAAAGACACTGATGCATCACGCCTGAATAAAACTTGAAGATAATAGGAAACCGTTTATGCATATTACAAAATAAAAAGTGAGCTCAACTCTGAATTAAAGGGATCATAGCAATTAATTCAAATTTGTTTTGATTATGTAAGATGGAGAGCAGGATTGCAGATGAACAAGCAGGCTTTAGGAAGGGTAGGGGTGTGTAGACCAAGTGTTTACAATAAAGCATACAGGTGAACAGTATTTAGATAAGGGTAAAGAGGTTCTCATTGCATTTATGGATTTGGAAAAGGCATATAATAGGGTGGACAGAGGAGCAATATGGCAGATGTAATAAATGTATGGAATAGGTGGCACAAAGGTGGTACCTTTGATATACCTTTGGTAGGTTACTGAAATCAGATAATAAGAGTTTTTACAAGGATACTGAGGCTCAGGTTAGAGTATGTAGGAGAGAGGGAGATTTTTTTTTTTTCAAGAAGTAAAAGTAGGCCTTAGACAGAGATGTGTGATGTCACCATGGTTGTTCAATATATTTATAGATTGGGTGTAAGAGAAATGAATGCTCAGGTGTTAGCAAGAGGTGTGGGATTAAGACAAAGAATCTAACACGAAGTGAGAGTTGTCACAGGTTCTTTTTGCTTTTGACATTGTGCTTTTGGGAGATTCTGAAGAGACGTTGCAGAGGCTGGTGAATGAGTTTGGAAGGGTATGTAAAAGAAGGAAATTAAAAATGAATATAGGTAAGTGCAAGGTGGGGAGGATAACAAAAATTAGGTAATAAAAGATTGGATATCAGATTAAAGGGAGGAAGTGAATGCATTCAGAGATTTGGGAGTGGACCTGTCAGCAGATGGATCTATGAAAGATGAGGTGAATCTAGAATTGATGAGGTAAAAAAGGTGAGTGAAGCAATGAGTCTGTGGAGACAAAGAATGTTATACTTGGAAGCAGAAAGAGGAATGTATGAGAGTATAGTAGTACCAATGCTCTTACATAGGTGTGAAGCATGGGTGATGAATGTTGCTACAAGAAGGCTGGAGGCAGTGGAGATGATGTGTCTGAGGGCAATGTGCAGTATGAATATAATGCAGAGAATCCATAGCTTGGAAATTAGAAGAGAAGAAGGTGCGAAGTTTCTAAAAGTATTATCCAGAGGGTACAGGGAGAGTTGTTGAGGCGGTTCAGACATTCAGAGAGGACGGAACAATATAGAATGACATGGAGGGCATATAAATCTGTAGTGGAAGGAAGGCAGGGTAGGGGTCATCCTAGGAAATATTGGAGGGAGAAGGTAAAGGATGTTTAGTGTGTGAGGGGCTTGGACTTCCAGTAAGTGTGCAAGAGCATGTGAGATAGGAGAAAGTGGAGAAGATTGGTTTTTTATAACTTGATATGCTGTTGTAGTGTGAGGAAAGTAACATTAATGAAGGGATTCAGGGAAACCAGTTAACCAGACTTGAGTCTTGGAGGTGGGAAATACAGTGCCTGCACTCTTTAGGAGGAGTGTTGATTTTATTATTTATTTTATTATCACACTGGCCGATTCCCACCAAGGCAGGGTGGCCCGAAAAAGAAAAACTTTCACCATCATTCACTCCATCACTGTCTTGCCAGAAGGGTGCTTTACACTACAGTTTTTAAACTGCAACATTAACACCCCTCCTTCAGAGTGCAGGCACTGTACTTCCCATCTCCAGGACTCAAGTCCGGCCTGCCGGTTTCCCTGAATCCCTTCATAAATGTTACTTTGCTCACACTCCAACAGCACGTCAAGTATTAAAAACCATTTGTCTCCATTCACTCCTATCAAACACGCTCACGCATGCCTGCTGGAAGTCCAAGCCCCTCGCACACAAAACCTCCTTTACCCCCTCCCTCCAACCCTTCCTAGGCCGACCCCTACCCCGCCTTCCTTCCACTACAGACTGATACACTCTTGAAGTCATTCTGTTTCGCTCCATTCTCTCTACATGTCCGAACCACCTCAACAACCCTTCCTCAGCCCTCTGGACAACAGTTTTGGTAATCCCGCACCTCCTCCTAACTTCCAAACTACGAATTCTCTGCATTATATTCACACCACACATTGCCCTCAGACATGACATCTCCACTGCCTCCAGCCTTCTCCTCGCTGCAACATTCATCACCCACGCTTCACACCCATATAAGAGCGTTGGTAAAACTATACTCTCATACATTCCCCTCTTTGCCTCCAAGGACAAAGTTCTTTGTCTCCACAGACTCCTAAGTGCACCACTCACTCTTTTTCCCTCATCAATTCTATGATTCACCTCATCTTTCATAGACCCATCCGCTGACACGTCCACTCCCAAATATCTGAATACGTTCACCTCCTCCATACTCTCTCCCTCCAATCTGATATTCAATCTTTCATCACCTAATCTTTTTGTTATCCTCATAACCTTACTCTTTCCTGTATTCACCTTTAATTTTCTTCTTTTGCACACCCTACCAAATTCATCCACCAATCTCTGCAACTTCTCTTCAGAATCTCCCAAGAGCACAGTGTCATCAGCAAAGAGCAGCTGTGACAACTCCCACTTTGTGTGTGATTCTTTATCTTTTAACTCCACGCCTCTTGCCAAGACCCTCGCATTTACTTCTCTTACAACCCCATCTATAAATATATTAAACAACCACGGTGACATCACACATCCTTGTCTAAGGCCTACTTTTACTGGGAAAAAATTTCCCTCTTTCCTACATACTCTAACTTGAGCCTCACTATCCTCGTAAAAACTCTTCACTGCTTTCAGTAACCTACCTCCTACACCATACACTTGCAACATCTGCCACATTGCCCCCCTATCCACCCTGTCATACGCCTTTTCCAAATCCATAAATGCCACAAAGACCTCTTTAGCCTTATCTAAATACTGTTCACTTATATGTTTCACTGTAAACACCTGGTCCACACACCCCCTACCTTTCCTAAAGCCTCCTTGTTCATCTGCTATCCTATTCTCCGTCTTACTCTTAATTCTTTCAATTATAACTCTACCATACACCATATGTTGCAGTTTTTTAACTGTAGTGTAGGCACGCCTCTAGCAAGACAGTGATAGAGTAAACGATGATGAAATTGTTTCTTCTTTTTCGGATCATGCTGCCTTGGTGGAAAACGGCTGATGTGTTAACCCTTAACCCTTTCAGGGTCCGTCCCGTAGATCTACGGCTTTACATTCAGGGTCCAAACCGTAGATCTACGCCATGAGCTCAGCTCACTCTGATAAACTGTGAGTGGTACATTTGGGCCTAGATATGAGAGAATACATCTATGTGGTATGTGTGCACCACATAAAACAGATCCTGCAGCACACTGTGTATAATGAGAGAAAAAAATGAAATCATGATTTTTCGATTAAAACAGCAACTTTGCAGTGTTTTTTTGTATGTTTTTTATAGTTGTATTTGCAATTTCTTGGTCTCATTTGATAGAATGGAAGACATATTACAGAAATAGAGATGATTTTGATTGGCTTTAGCACTGGAAATGGCTTGAAACTGAGCTCAAAGTAGCAGAAATGTTAAATTTTTGCCGATATTCAAGAGTAAACAAACGACCTCACACGTCTAATACACGTCAGCTGGTGGGTCTAACATACATTCACAAATATGGTGATGATATTTATACAATTATTACAGTATTGCATAACAGAAAATCTCTATTTTTTGGTGTGAATAAAAATTCATTATGTAAATAAAAAAATAAAAATGGAATTTATTTGTAAAGCCTCAAAACATAACTAATGAACAGAGGAAATGTTAGTTTAGTGCCAGGAATGCCTACATTGTTCATTCTGGACCCTATTTTGAAACTGGAATATTTTGAACTTTGTGTTAAATTGGCCAAATTAACAATTTCCGATCACTTTATTTTGTAGTTGAAACAGTTGACTTGGCGATTTCTTGTGCTCAATCACTAGAATAGAAGTAATACTAGTGAAATAGCTGAGAATTTGGTTGATTGGAATAATGTAATTGGCCTAAAATGGGAGTCAAAGTCGGCAAAATCGCCGATTCGTAAATATCGCTGACACATCAAAATTCGCGAGAGCATAAGTTTGTCAATTTTCCACCAAATTTCGTACTTTTTGTTTTATTACCTTCACAAAAAGATTCTCTACGATTTCATAAGAAAAAATAACAAATTTTTTTTTTGAAAATTCTTGGACACTGGTGCGTGACTCCAGATTTGGGCCTTGGACCCTGAAAGGGTTAAACTGCCAAACATAGATCTACATTTTTTCAACATTTGAAAGTATGTAAAAAGAGTATATCTTCTTTTCTTTTTTTTTACACTTGAAAAAATTGTAAAAAAACTTTGATCTACTTTTTTTTATTGTTATATTTGAAAATGTGTAAAAAAAAAAAAAATATATCTACTTTTGGAGCACTACGCATGTGAACGTAGATCTGCTTGGACAGTTTAACCCTTTGACTGTCGCAGGCCCCTTTCTGAAACTGTCATTCTATGTCGGTAAATTTTTTGGAGAATTTTTTTTTTTTTATGAAATGATAGAGAATCTTTTCCCGATGGTAATGACACCAAAAGTATGAAATTTGGTCGAAAACTCATGGAATTACGCTCCCGCAAAGTTAGTGGTCTTGGCAACATATACGCATCGGCAATTTCGCCAACTTTGAGCCCCGTTTTTGGCCAATTCCTTTGTTCCAGTTGACCAAACTCATAGCTATTTCTTTAGCAGTCCATTTTTTCTATCTGTTGAGTAAAAGAAACCGCCCATTTACCGATTTGAACTACCCAATAAAGTGGTCAGAAATTGGCAATTTGGCCAATTTCACACAAATTAAAAAAGATGCCAATTTCAAGATGAGGTCCAGAATAAACAATGTAGACATTCTTGGCACTAAAATAACATATCCTCTGTTCATTAGTCACATCTCTAGGCCCCTCTTATATTACTATTGCTTTCT